GGGGTCAGAGTGGGGGGGTCAGAGTGTCGACTGTGTTCGTGCGTGTGTGTGTGTGTGTGTGTGTGTGTGTGCTCCTGTACCCCCCACGAAGATTCCCGTAACCGCAGCCACGGCAGGAGTTACATAACAAACACTTGATGGTCTGTAAAAAGTGGGAGCAGAGAATAAAGAAAAAGCAACGAACTCCTCACCGAGGAGAAGAGAAGGAGGAGGAGGAGGACAGAGGAGGTTTTTCAAGGTGTTCCAAACCTGCTCCAAACGCTCCTGCAGGATCTTGAAGGACTGGGACAGGTCCCGCGTCTGCCTCCAGGTCCACGCCGTGAAGAGTGCGCTGCAGGCGGCCAGAGACAGCGCCACCAGGGCCAGGGACGCCCAGAGGACGCGCAGCTTGCGCACTCGCCTCCTCTGCAGGATCCGATGCATGTTGGTGTTGCAGACGCAACTGCAACCGCTGCTGCTGCTGCTGCTGCTGCTGCTGCTCACCGCCCGCTGCCTTTCAGCTCCATTCCAGCAGTGAGTGCGTCAAAACCCTGACACTGTCCCGGTGTCCATTTCTGTGATTTTGGATGAAAAATAAACGTGCGTAAAAGGAGAAAAAAAAACAAGGAGACGCAGCGTTAAGCTCTCAGATCAAGTGTTTCTTCATCCTCCCTGTGCGCACGGCGGCTCCAAAATACGCAAAGTGTGCCAAAGAGTGCGCACTCATGCTCTGTTGCATCCTCCTGCTGCTCCTCGTGATTCGTTGACTCAGCGCTCCTGCTCTTCTTCCCTTTACGCAGCAGCAGCAGCAGCAGCAGCAGCAGCAGCAGCTGGGGGTCAGACCCAGTCTGTCTGCTGCTGCCCAACATGCGCACGCGCGTACAGACACTGGTGTTAAGGGCACACATGTTGTGACAGTAGCTGATTTAATAAATAACAACAACTTTTTTTGTCTGCACATACCACTTTAAGCCGTTCACTCGTCCTGTACTTGTCTGTTCGACCACTAGATGGCAGAAGTGTCATCTTGTCTGTAATGATGATTGGTAACGCTCGCGTACCAACTCCATGAACTTTCTGTGTCCCCACAAGTGACCAGACTCCGACTGGCTTTATAACTGTGTACGTGAACGTAAAGACTGGGGGTTAAAACACGCAGTGTTTGAGCACTAGGGGGTGCTCAAACACACTGTACGGCTGGGTCACGTCCTTTTTCTTTTTAAAATTATATTTTTAACAGTTAAGGAACGAGTCCAAGTAAAAGCTTAAAAAATGTGGGCTGCTCAGCAGTCGCGTCACTACTGTCTGATTCTGGGCTTCACTGCTGAAGTCCAAGAACCAAATCTGAACTGAAGACACCACAGTCAACACCTGCACTAGTCCACAGGAGTCCAGACTGAGGTCTGGTACCAGGGTTTGTTTTAGTGTTTGTCTTTTCAAGCTAATTTGTTAGCTATACAGTTTGACTTTGTTTTTCTTTGTAAACTACGTAGCTGTGTTGGCTAACTTGTAGCTGCTTCCTGGCCAAACTTTTGTTTTCTTTTTCAAAACAATGTAAGTATTTATACTGACTGAGCCACCTAACATTTATTTATTTATATGTTTTAGGAAAATATAGTATAGTAAGTATTTTAATATTTAATTCACTAATAACGGTTTAACTTAAGACTCTCTTTTTAATGTCTTTTTGGCTAAATGTTAGCAGTTTGTGTTAGGCATTAGGGTACTTTATTTGTTCATTTTAGCTAAACATTGATCATTTGTAATCATTCTGGCAAACTTTTGTTCCCTCTGGGTATCTATGTAACTTCTTGTGCTAAGAATTTAGATAGCTCCTAGCATATTCATCTATTAAATTCAACCAAAAGGTCATGCTGTCGTTAAATTATTACTGTTTGTGGTGTACTCTTTTATGGTGTGTCTTCAGGTAATTTGAGCCAAGTATTAGCTGTTTTTCCTAGAGTTTATCCTTTGCTACCTCCGATGTCTGAGTCAACATTGTGAAGCGACTTTGGCTGACTTGTTTCTGAGTTAGTCATTTGACTAACTTACACGTACGTTTCAGTCATATTTGTAGCTATTGTGGTTGCGTTGACAGATTGTGTTGGTATCTTGTAGATAACTTTTAGCACAGGCTGTCTTTTAGCTATATCTTTGCCTGTGTTAGCGTTAGTGTTAGCCCTCGGCTGACAGTTTCTGTCATACTGTTTTTACCTTTTTAATATTCCATGCAACAGTTCTCCCCGTGACTCTGGTGTGCACAAAGTTTGTAGAATTGACTGAACCACGTGTTGAACAACGTCCTGGTTCTTTCACTGCTATGGCACTGAGCTCTCTGAGGAGAATGTAGACCTCCAGATCATGAACATTCACACTCTCACATAGTCCTCATGAACTTGACTCACACCACATTGGTCCAACTGGACCGGCGACACTCGGGCTCCACAGCCATGTTTCTCTCTTCTCTGCTGCTTTATTCAATTCACTAACAGCTCAGAGTTCTTCCAAGTCTCCCCGTGGTCTCAGAACACGTTTTCAAAACCAATGAGAGTAACAATGTGATGCAGTCTGACTGTTCGCCTCCATCTTTGCTTCTTCGCATGTGAACTTGTGTGTTTTACTGGCCTCTGACACCATCTGCTGTCAGCAAGTCAAATAGCCTGGAGGTGCACTAAAGTGCGTGTGTGTGTGTGTGTGTGAGGCTGCAGGAACAACAAGGAAACGCTTTCACACAACTGCTTTGTGTCTAAAACAATATTTTGAAAATTGTGTTTTTACTTGAAGAATATTTCCCAATTTTATGACCATTTACAGGATTAAAGATTAGGCAAAAAAATAGCTAAAGGTTAGCCAAATGTTAGGTTAAAGTGTAGCGACTGTGCAAAACAAGAAAAAAGGAAGACGACAAGTGTTACCAATAAACTTTCTCTTGTACCTTGACTGAGTCATGCTGAATAAAAAGGCCAATATCAGCTTAAAGTTATGACAAGGAATTGCTAAAAGTTAGCAGAAAATGTACCTAATGTTTGATGGACAACATTAGCCTTGAATGAGTTAAAACACAAAGATAGCTAAAGGTTAATTTAAAAGAGAAATTAACCTTGCCAAACCAACCATCCGCCCTAAACAAGAAATAATTACTAATAGGCAAAAAGTAGTCACATTGAAAACAAATGGGTTAGCTGAAATAATGCTCTTGCTAACCTTCAGGTGTCTGATTTGTTTATTCTCATCTAGGCTAATACTAATACTTTCCTAACTTAGCCTTTTGTTTTTGATTAAAAAAGTCAGAGAAACTTCAATGTTTTGAGTAAATTTGTCCAAATCTGGGAGGCCTGGATTTCAATGACATGACCAGAGGACAAAAGCATTTGTTTTGCACAAAATAAATGTGTTAAACATTTTTATTTGCAACATCAAATTTGGCTTTTTACAAAGGTTTTTCAGCCCAGGACCCAGGTTTTTCCTAACAAAAGTCTCTTCTCAGTTTCTCATCCTCAGTGACAGTGTCTCATTAAAGCACTGAGATTTACTGCAGATGAATCAGGTCCTGAACTTTGATTCCACTTAATAAAAATTCCACTCAGGGAAACAGAGTTACAAGAGTCCAGGATTTACAGCTCTGGATCTAGACTCCTGGATCAGGATCCTTCTGGGAAGTGGGAGATGAAGCAGCTAGTAAATGTTTCTTCATCTTCACACGTGGAGAATGGAGTCAATATTGAGGTTGTGCACTTTGGGAGATGATTTGTCAAAATGTGCACAGCTGAACCTTTCTGCAAACCCAGTATCCAGAAAAGTCAGAACAATACTGCAATAAAAGGCAAAAACGTCTTTGGTGGTCATTAAATTAAACACAAGATAACTAAGATTAAGTCAAAAAGTACATGAGCTAAACCAATGTTAGTCACAGGAAACGGTGGGTGTGTGAAACGATGCTGGGCAGCTAAAAGTTAGCCATATGTTTAATGTTGTTCCAGAACAAAAGTGAAGTTTTAATATTCAAAAACAGTTGACAGAGCAGCTTAAAAATTGAAACACTGCTTAAATCACATGATTGTTTTCAGAACAGCTCATCGATTCAGGATAAAGCTTTTGTTTAACACTCTCTTAATGGATTTTAAAATATAATCCAGGATCTTTTTATAGAGTAATGGTTACAAAAGGTAGAAGGTCTGAAAAGGCAGATTTCCATGGCTAGCCTACGAGGCTGCAAAAAACAAGGTATCAACAAATGAAGTATTTGTTATAATACAGCCTATTGTGGTACAGTATTTTATAGTATGTGTTGGGATGGTTTTGAATCGTGGATTTCTGTCAGTTGACCTAATGCGTGTTTTATTGTGAGACGATGTTAAAATAGCAAACAGCATAGTCACGCAAGCAGCTCGTTCAACCAGTAGCAGAAATGTAAATTGCCGCCTTTGTTTAGGGTGTAAGCTCCTTGGCAGGCGCTTACATTTACATTTGACAACTATGCATTAAGAACTTTTACCCAAAGCGACTTACAGAGCAAGAAACATGTGGTTCCTCTGGGAATCGAACCCAGGACTCTCTGCTTTCGAGGCAGGTGCGCAACCATATGTTGTTTGAACATACATCCTAATGCTTAATGTGTATGACGTTATCAAATGACAAATTACTCTAATCGATATTTTATTTTTTGGAAAGGATAGGGAGTAGCTCATGGTCCAATCTAGTGTTCAGGTAAAAACAGTATAATCATATAATTATAAAATAGTCAAGCAATAAAAGGCATTTTTCAGTGCATTCTAATCTGACCATACTGCTCTGCCGTGGTGGTGGAGAAGAAGAGAAGTGCCCAGTACGGGGCTGCTTCCCCTGAATGGGGCCCCTCTTAACCCTGGTCACAGCTGTGGCAAACGTCCAGTGGAGGCAAACATGGACCTTACCATTTTTGCTAGTCAGAAATGGTCCAAATAGGAGATTTTCTTGCTGCTTGAGATGTAAAATAATAGGAAAAGTCCATTGGGTCCACAGTCCTCTTCTCAGGTTGTAGCAGGGTTCTGGGCTGAGTCCTGTCCTTCTCCACTTCCTTTTTCTCTTTAACTCCAGCAACAGTGTTTCACACTTTTCTGAGTTGAACACACCCTTTCAGATTACAGAAAATACATTTAAATTCCCTCAGCATTTAACATCATCCGTCATTATAATTATAGTATATTGTAAACAAAATTTGCCATAATCTCTTCACCTGACTTCATCCTCATTGGGTTCTTCCATTAGTCTGTTTCATTAGACACCTTCCCTAACTGACATTACCAGCAGAATTAGAATGAATATATTAAAAACGATCACTATACTTTAAATCACACAAAAAGATGATCCCATTTTAACCATTCTTCATTATCACAGCTTCTGTTCTCCACTTCTTATTTTACGCTCGTTTATCCAGGTACTTCCCAAAGAAATGACTGTAAAACTGGTACATTTTGCTACTTTCCCAACTCCTCCCTTCTGTGTTCTAAATAATTTAACTCTTCACTTCTGCATTATAAATAATTTTATTTATTTATTTTTTCTTCCTTTTCTTTGACCTGCGCTTAAACTTCTGGAATGGTAGAGACATCGCTACAACATGAAGTCATATTATTTTGTATCGACTGCTTCTTAAGCTGATATAGTCGGCTGTGATTTTATAGACACTGTTATAGCACACAGCTCAATGGTTGCCAATAATAAGTAACAGTTGCTAAATTGAACTCAATGTTTTCTTAAAGATTTACTGAAAGACGACAATAAGTCTTTCAAATTAGCCTAGAAGGTCGTCATACCAACAGCTAGCCAAATTAGCTAATATTTGCGAATTGCTAAGTATTTGCAGAGGTAAAAGCTACAACTAAATAAATGCTAGTTGACAAGACAACCCCCCCCCCACCCCCCCCGCCCTGTCTTCTTTACCTGTATTAAATCACAGAAAGGCGGAGCAGAGGAGACCTTTGTCTGTCCTGTTTGACCTATTGGCCTCAATCGGGTGTCTCAGGTCAAACAAGTCCCAGACCAGTGGACTGACAGTTTCATCTTCTGGGCCAGTCACAGAACCCACAACCTCTGCAGCCATTGTAAACTTGATTTGATTTATCTTGAGGTTTGTTACTTTATGGTTGTTATCGTTTCAGTGACTGCTTCTTTATTGTCTTTACTAGTTTAAATGAACTCTTCAACTCTAACCTTTACCCTCTTCTTACACTGGACTTCACTGACCTTGTACAATGACAACAAAGGCCTTTTCATTTCTATCATGATCTTTGATTATTTGTGTGAGGTGGATCTTTTGTCATTTTTGTGGAAGTATCAACATTTTTAGGGGGAAAAAAAGTCACATTCTTTGTTGAATTGTTTAAGAAAGAAAATGTCAAACCGGTCCAGAGCGGCAGAGTCGGGTCGTGGTTTCTGACTTGTTTATAGATGGAGAGAAAACAAACTAAATTTAACTCCTGACTGTGTGTGTGTTTTTCATTAAACGTCTGGAAACCAGGACATGGATCAGAACCAGGCTTTCAGAGCCAGAGTTCTGCCACTTTCACTTTAGAGCCGCAGGTTTGAAAATGCTGAGGCAGCACCAGGCCCAGCGCTCTGCTGCCATTTTTTAAATTCCACCGCACAGATTATTGGATTCTGGAGCAGAGCCGCAGGTTGGAAACTGAAAACCATGAGTTTGCTGTTTGTTTGGCAGCAGAGGAAGCAGACGGAAGAAAAGGGGGGTCTTAGGTTTGAATCCCACTCATTGCTTCAGTTAAATATACATTTTTATATGAGCGTGCCCAAACACACTGCAGCCAAGAGGCAGAAAGTATCCTAGTATGCTAGTATCCTAGTATGCTAGTTACTATGAGGGCAACATTTGCTGTAAAAGTGTAAAAGTTTACACCACATCTCTAAAACCTCATTACAAAATAGCTAGACGTTGGAAATGTGGGGGAAAAACTCTACAAAAGTTAAAGCTAAAGGTTGGCTTAAAGATAATATGTTAATAAACAATTACAAGTTAGCTAACACCAAGAAAACAAAGTTTTGCCAAAAGATAATTTAATAGCAGCAACAAATGGCTAATTACAGTAGCAAACAAAGGCTAAAGATGTGATGAAATAAATACTTTCTTGTTTGACCAACATTTAGATGTATTTATGAGCTATCATTTAGCTGCATTCTTGGCTTTTTCTATGGTTTTTAACTGCACAAGCTTTTTGAGGTTAATTTGGCTTTTACTATTAAAAATTCACCTGTTAGATTCTGACTTACATCCAGCTCATAATTATGCAAAAAACCACCATCTTCTACTGTGTGGCAGTAAACTGTTTTTATTTACAGGTAAATAGATGTGGGCTATGTTATATCTACCCCAGTTCCATATTTGGGCCCACACTTTAAAACACAAAATAAAAGATGACATGGTTTGGGTAAACTGCATGGGGCCAGGGTTCAGGACTCATCTACTGGGTCACTGTTGGCCAGTTTCTTCAGGGCGTTTTCTCCACAGCTCATCCAGTGATATCCCAGTTTCTCAGTGATATCTATACAACCTTGTCTGGTGTAAAACTCCAAGGAGGATTTGTTCCAGTTCAGAACGATAAAGTTCATCTGCGTACACCCCACTTCCAGGCCCAACTGAAAGAAAACATTTTTTTAATTGTACTTGTTAGTATGAAGATAAACCTGGCTGTAAAACATCCCAACACAACTTCATCAGCCAAACTACGATGGTTAGCCCAAAGTAGCACATTACTCAGTTAAGGGTTTTCCCCCCGTACTGTACAAGTCAAATAAGGTAGTCAATGTAGAGCCCAAAATATTAGCAAGTACAAAAATAGAGCTAAATGTTACTGAAAAAGAGGGTTGGGTTTTGACAATTTAACAAAAACTCCATGGTCTTAAATGACCGCAATTTAATCTGAAAGTCTGGTACTAGTGGGGAAAAAAGTTCATTGTGTCTGCTTCCCAAAGAACTGTTATTAGGACTCACCTGAGCTACTTTGCTCATCAGGGCTTTACCGATGCCTTTTCCTGTAAAACAGAACCCAACAGTCTCTCACAGGAAGTGAACAACGGGACCGAATCACCAATGAATCAACTTGAGATCTTTGACTCTACCTCTGAACTCAGGCATCACGTACAGATCCTCCAAGTAGACGCACCTTCCCTTCCATGAGCTGTAGGAGAAGAAGTAGAGAGCGTATCCAACCTTTACATGACCTGGCAGCACACAGACGAAAAGAGTAGTTAGTTCAACACAGACGGCTAACCTAGAAATGGCTAATAGTTAGCTATTATTAAGTTAATGGTTACAATCTCGCCATATAGTAAAAATAAAGTAGGGATGTCTGATATTAACATTTTGCCAATATCTGATATGCCGATATTGGCCAAACACTAAATTTCCGATTCCGATATCAACCGATACCGATATAGCAGGGCAGTGGTGGAAGTTAAGTGTTGCCTGCTCACTAAGGTGATGGGTTAAAACAGTGTTTCTCAATCATCTTCTGCCCCCTAGGGGACAGAATTAAAATACTACTGAGTGCCTGGTAATATCTGTTTATTTATCTGTACAAACCACTGTAAGAGTTGTTGGCACCAGCATTCTGCATACAACCCCCTGATTATCACTATAGATTAACACAAGAAGCTACAATGCTGCCATCTAGTGACTACAGGCTTGTTTAGCGTTGATATTGTTCTGTGGTCATTTGTTATTGTGACGGTTTAATAAATGTTGTGGTATAATGTTGTAGCGCACATGCGCAGTGTGTTCTGTTCCTTGTGTTGGAGCCAGCTGGCTCGGTTAGTGCTGGTCAAGTTCTGCTCCGAGCGGTTTAGCGCGTGCTGTGGCCGACAACAGTGCTGATGATTAAACATTCCCTCAGAATCAGAAGGGAAAAGTAGGGAACACAAACATATAGGCACAACTCTCCAGATGCCGTCCTTAGTTTCCTCCCCAGGGAGTAGAGGTGTAACTCACACCTCCATTTATGTAACACCAACGACCTCCACCCAGAGGACAGAGAGGGGGAACGACACGATATCGTTCTGATAATTAAGGTGAAGTCTGAGTGTCAACAGTTAATCATTGATGTTGTCACAGTAATAAACGAGTGCTTCCAGCTCCTGTTGTTGTTGTTGTTGTTAACAGTTGTCTGTGTTGATACACCTGCAACTGCTCAATAATTACAATTAATAGTAGTAATTATTATAACAACAACTGTACAGTTGTTCTTTCAGCCTTGATCTTTTCTCATCAGATACTTTACTAACACACGTTACAATTTCGAAGAAAACGCCTTCTAGCAACTAAGCTAGTTTTTATCTAAACTGACTGACAAGCTGTTTGTGTTTATGGCTGCAATATTGTTTGTTAACTTCGAGACGACATTGTTGGTATAAACTATGAGCACATTATAGAGATTTTGAGCAACATTTTCAATATATTTGAATAATTTTATGTCTCTGCTTCTCTGACAGCTTTAAGAGCCGCACAATAACAAGTTTGCCATGCATTTCATGGTGAACCTTTAGCTATTAGTTCTCTAATGTTTTGTGTAATTCATTCCACGTATTTCAGACAAAAAAATGTTTCCATTTTCCCACACCATCTTTGCTTTTCTGATCTTCTGGAACCTCAGCGATGACTCCTCGAAAGAATGGGGTGTTGGAAAAACCATCCTGCTCCAAATCTGCATGTAAACAAAAGAACACATTCATTTATGCACTAATTATCAAACAAAGTGGTTTTTTTTTATCCAAACCCTACCTTTCTGCCCAATTTTCACAAGATCTGTCACTTTTTCATATTCAGCCAGTTCCTGCAAAATAAGAAGTTGATGTAAATGTTCACTATTTATCGTACGTGTATCTGATCTGTTCAAACAGATTAGATTACTCTGGTGTCATGTCTCTTCAAACATGAGACTATGTCAATTAAGCTGCATGTATCCTGTTTGGTCATAGCTCAGGTCTTTACCTCAGGTGCTGTGATTAATAAACCAAAGAAATATTTTTTTTATCTGTTCTTGGTCATGCAGGTCATCTTACCCAAGGCAGGTTTGGTTTCTGGGAGGTTTCTGTCAAATGGTTTAAACCAGTTCAGCCTTGAAAAACTTTTCAAGTGTGTCATTGCAATGAATTAACATTTACGAATAATTTGCTGGAATATATCAAATCTGAGCTAAAATTCAGTTCCAAACCATGACGAAGTTGCCTCTGTACTGTAACAGCCGGATTTGTTCCACCAGATGTTGCACAGCTCCTTCTGTGTGGATGCTGCCTTTAACTCATCAATTTCACCCTTTTATCTCTTCTCTGCTTCTAATATTCGGTTCAGTTTAACCATAATGAACTATAATAGGAATAATACATAAAATAATAGTGGTGAAAACTACGTGCGCTTAGACTTGATATTGATCTACCTATAGTTGTTTAACCAAATGTTGATGTTTAAAACAAAACAAAGAAATAAAAGTTTTAAATTTTGTATTTTTCTGACCATTAACATCCGCGCGATGTCCTTACAGTCATCCACGGTGGAGTCGCGAAGACGGAAGTTCATCCTGATACGACTGTCTGGATCTGCATGTACTCCGTACTGTAACAAGTAAATCCGGGCTGTTATTCTGCCCCTGCCCACACTGAAATACGTCATGATCACGCAAAGCATCATGGAGCCACCGTGGTGTCAACCACCAGTCACTGGCCGATTTATAGTCCTACGAACACATAGCCTGGCACAGCAGTAAACAAGCTTTATGGTAGACGATGCGAGCAACTACATTAAAAACGAACAGTTGACGACGACGCCATTTCAACCATTTCCGGCCTGATATTAAGTAAGACAAGAATGTTAATGTACGTAAACAAAAAACATGGTACAACACTAGTCTCAAAAGTGATAAGAACTGGTAAACAAAAAACAAACAAACTGATAGTAACTCTGAAAAACAGACAAATTAGTTTTACGTAATTTAATTTAAAAAGGAGATGTAAAAGTTATACCAGTACATAATCAATAACAGTTAGAAGATAACTAACATTTGATTCACATATGACATCTATGTTAAAATAGATGTCATATTTGTACTTTATGTATGTTTGTATATTTTAATCACTTTGAATTTAACGCTTTTTAAAAATGTAATCACTCTGGCTTTATTTTTACCAAGTCTTCAGCTGTCTTTGTGAATATAAGTTATAAAAATCAATAGTAAAATATTTTTGAGCCGAGGTTTATGTAACTTTTGTCTTCATCCAGCCTAACTTTCCTCAAGTCAGTTTGATATAAATATATCAATAAAATATCAATAAAAACTTTATATTGATATATTTTTATATTTTATCTTCAGGAAATATACATAAACAAAACAGAAATCAAACAATTCAAGTTGTGCTGCAGTAGTGTGTTTCCTGCTTCCGGTCTTCGTCTGTGTGCAGCCAGATTCTTTGTAAATTATCGGTCTCGTTTGACATATGTGTAATACAGCTTGTAGCCTCTAGAGGGCTGCCTATTCCTGGTTACTACTGGTAGACGAGACCTTTTCCTTTTGTTCTTTCCAATGTAGCTATTCGGATAAAAAAAATTCTGGTCAGATTTACATAATGTTCTTTATTTTGCTAACTTTTACGAATTTTCTACTAAAATTTAACTCTGTTAAAATGAATTTCATGCTAACCCTTGTCTCAATTGTGTACATATTTTGGCAACGTAATGCAGTATTGATTATAGTATTGTTTAGAGATTTGGCAAACGTTCAGCATTCTTGGGTGTTGTCTAATGACAAGGTTATTTTAAGTCTTCCAACTTTCATTGTTCAATTATTTCAGCAGTGCGGGATCAGTACCTTTACCATAGGTTCAACCTTAACCTTTGTTGCTACTCTGAATAATTTGCTAATATAACTGTTGGCTCTGCTTCATTAAACTGAAGTCATTTTTTTATAAATTTGAAGCTAGATTTGATTAGACTTTAGTGTGGGATCAATTGAGTTCATTTTATTCTGTCTATTAGCAATTTGTTTTTGTTTTGTTTGTTTTTTACGATATGTGCTGCAACATCGGCTAACCCTTAGCTATTTATAATGAAATTACATCTTAACTAGGACTAAGCCTTCCATTTCTTACACCCCAGTCTTGTTCTTTTTGTCACATCTTTGTCTCTCTGGATCTCTGTATAATGTATGTTTTTTCCTGGTATATTGCTAGCGTCAGTGGATTTTTTACAGTTGCTCGTACTCTGTACGAACAGAGGAGACGTTAGCACAGACAGTCTTTTCACATGGTGTTCGCACAATATTTTGGACGTCACGTTTTTCCAGGTCATTCCAACAAACGTAGCTTGTTCTGTGTCCTACATAGCTGTCAGCTGTGAACAAACCTCATCATCATTATTGTCGTCTCCACATTAAAATAATTAGCTGTTAGTCACAAACTCTTCCTGTTGTCTTTGTTTGTGTCAGATGCTGTGCTGTCGTCATGCTCTGCAGCAGAAGAATAGCTCAAAGGTAACAACACGTTTTCATCTGTGTCCAAACTGTGGCTCAGGGACCAAATGTGGTACATGACTATGTTTCAAACAGTATCTACTGTTTTCCTTCTTCTGGCGTTAGATTCAGCTTCTTTATGTCTCTGTGACGTTTTTGCATTTTCTGCTCTTTTTTTAACCTTTTATCTTTGTCTATTTTTTTAAATGTCTTTTTTTTGTTATTTGTGGGTCAAACTTAAGTTATCTTTGGTGTCAGTTTAACCTTTTGTTGCCACATTTTTTTCTTAATGTGTTTCTTTCCTAAATGCAAATACTTTGTCTTTTTATTATGTTTACCATTTTCAGCTGACATTTGTGTATTTCTGTTTTGCCTTTAAGGTAAACATTAAACCTGTGGTCAACTATTAGCAGTTAGCATTTTGACATGAACTTTGGTATTTGTGGGCATACTTTTTGGTGGGGTATTTCTTGACTTACAGTAATTAGATTTACTGGCCCAGATCTTAGTAATCTGTTGGATAATGTTCAGTTCATATCTCCAGTTAATTGTTTTTAACTTTTTTGGTAAGCTAAGTTTCTAGATAATAAGTTACTAGTGCTAGACTTCAAGCTTTGTTCCAGGAACTTAATTAACTTTGTCCTACTTTTGCACATTTGTCTTTACTTTAGATGAACTAACCTCCAGCCATTTCTAGGGTAACTAAGATTATTTTTAAAATCGTAGTTTACTTCTTGACTATTTGCTGGAGGCTAATTACCATCTGCTTATTAAATAAATACTATAGTCTATAATTATTCAGATCACACTTTGTGTATTTATGTGTCAGGTCATGTGCCGTTATCACGATGTTGCTTGCAAGCAGAAAAATCACCAACAAACTGAGAAACGTGTGTTCAAACTGCGGCCCAGGGCAAAATGTAGGACGTGGACAGTTTTGCACAGCTCACAAATTCTTACTCTTGTTTATTTTTTGCTAGGAAGTTTGAAGTATTGGTCTTTTGACCCACTTTCAGTTGCCTTGTGGCTGTTATCAATTTGAGTTTTAATGATTTGTTTTGGCTAACATTTAGAAATCTCTCCAAAGGCCTAATTGAACTGATGTTCTTGCTAAGCTGCAGCTGTTGTTGCTAATGCATAGCAATTATGAAATGTTGTGGGACTTTCTGGACTAACTTTTATTCAGTAGGGATGTCTGTTCCCATCAGCCATCACCATATAAGCATAACAATGTTGTGTTTCTGCACATCAGTATTGTTGAATCTCCCCATATTATAGCGCTTAAGGAAGAGGGTTTGGGTCCAGAAGGTTTCAGGTTCTAGTCCACCAGCTGCCAAGTTCCCACTGAGGTGCTCTGTCATGGCTCCGTCTCCACTCACTGCTCCCTGGTTCTTAAAGCTGCCACTGTTCACTGTGGTGATGGGTTAAAAACAGAGGTCACATTTGGTGGTGTGCAGTGGTGAGCTGTGTCACACTGACAAGGAGTTGACTTTCCTTCCTTCCTTCCTTCCATAAGGAAAACTATAAAAAATAATGCCTGCATGTCATAATTTTTTTTACCAGAACTGTACTGATGACCTCATCAGATCCTGCTTTGACTCCAGTTTATTATTTCAATGTTATTGTTAGTCATGTTCTAAAGAAGGATGCTGCTTTTGTGGTTTTGCACTTGTATTTCCTGTCTTTGTACTTTGTTCAATAATCACTAACAAAAGCTTTCATTAGGCAGTGGATGAATCAGTAACAACATCAAATGGCTCAAACTAAAAATGTCTGAATCTGACTGATGGGCTGGCGACGTAGGAGAAGCACAAATGTTCAAATGTAGCTTCTGACGACGTTTACGTGGACGTGTCTGATGATCTCACTGCAGGTTCTGACCTGTACAGCAGAGAACTGAGAAAAAGTGATGGTTTCAAATAATTCGCTGAGTGTGTGTGTGTGTGTGTGTGTGTGTGTGTGTGTGTGTTTCTGAACAGCTGGAGGGCAGACAGTGATGCTGGCACGTTATGCTGCCTTAATCATGTTGGTTGGTAAATAACTGTGTTTGTGTTGCTCCAACCTCATTTCCTAATTGTCTAAATGCAGTAATTAACATATAAAAATATGTTCATTGTCTGTCTTTGGGGTAAGGAGATCATGGAGGCTCCTCCTCTGTCAGCCCTAGGAGGCAGAGCCCGTGTTTGAACAATCAAAATACTCCAAAAAGAAAGGGTTGACATTTAAAATTAGAAGCTGCTGCTGTGATGACTGTCAGATAGGTGTCGCTAAAGCTCAGCACCATATGCAGCTTCAGGCTCTAGGTAGTGAAGATGTAAGTTGTAGCCACAGCTCTGAATATTCACAGCTACCCTGAAGTCAGCACAGGGATGCTACCGCCTCGTGCTTCAGCATGTTTATCAACAAGTCCAGAATGTGGGCTGCAGTTTCACCCCATCTCCACCTGCTCCACCTGCCTGCAGCCAGTGGAATCCAGTCCCTTTGTGGCCTACACCTGGAATCCAGATTGTATTCAACACTGAGTCAAACTGCATATATATTATATATTGGGCCAGCCTTATTTTCTGGCCCACATACTTGACTATAGTGCTGTATATGCTGTGTCTGTGCCAAGTCAAAAAGATTTCCTTTCTGGGCTGAAGTAAAACACTTATCAGACACGAATCCTATAATAATGCTAATTAACTTTAATTATAACCTTTGTCAGAAATCCAGGTCAGATGTCAAATGTTAGGATTTTTTATTGATATGTTGACCCTGAATTTTACTTTTGTACTAGATAGATGTAGGTGAGTATATTTATTTGTATACATTATATATATATATACACGTATATCTTATATATCAGTATATATATACATACATATACATGTATGTGTGTATATATAGTAGTCAAAAAGGATTCATTAGTTGAGATAATTAGTTGGCGAAGGTTAATTAGATCAATCATTGTAGTGCATTGGCAGACTGATGTGTAGCCAGTGATTCCACGGTCTTTCCTCTTGTCGGTGCGCTAACACACACATTGTTATTTACACACACCACGGGAAAGAATATTCTTTACCGTCTCAACTCTATATGCACTACTGTGTACACTCATCTAAAAGTTCTGCCTGCCTCCACTGACAGTACCACAGTGTTGGTACTGTTGTGCTGATGAAGTGACATCCCTGTCAGTGTCCTAACACTGTGATGTGAACAGGATGATAATCCTGTGGATTTTCAGTGTGTCC